ATCATCAGTGTCCCCTTCTTCAATTGCTTCACCATCATCAGCACAAAAAGAAGGATCTGCAATAAGTAAAGAAACAAAGGAAAGAAAAAGAAAAAATCAGCTAAGAGTCCATAAAAAGAAGAGATTTAAGTATCATAATCACTCCAGTAATGTGAATTCCAGATTGTAATGTATAAAGTTTGGTTTTGTTTGGGCAGCTTCACAATTCTACACTTTAGATATCTTCAACTGCTTCAACACCTGAAAATCGTGAGGATGTTTCTTCGGGGAAAACACTCCGACACTCAAGTTAACAATACTCGATATTCTAGAGAGAGAAGCTCTCAAACAGTAATTGTAGAGAGAGAAGCGTAGTGGAGTTAATACTTTGAGTGGAGGTAGTTGGGGGTATTTATAACCCCATTTGCTGAAATGAGTCCATATGTGTAAGCATCCAATTGGTCCACGTGTTATTGCCCACGTGGATATGTCTGTATTAGTGTATGGATGTCTCTTCATTCTGGGCTAATGGATGTATGACTAGGCCTGTTGTACATGGACTAGATTGAATGTTGGGCCCATTCCCAACATTACTCCCCCCTCAGTGTTCGATTGACGAACTGGGTTGAAGGCTCCCGTGGCCCAACGTTTTACCCAAACGCTGAGGTTTGACTTAAACGAATTGTGATGTATCCGAGTTGAACCCTAGATGAGGGAGCTGTTAACAAAAAGGTTATATCCAGGGGACCTGAACTAAGGGCGACCTCATTTAAGGCATCTATGGGTAGACCGAATTCCTATCAAGTGTGTGTGGGCAAGCTGATGCCAAAGCAATCTTATTCTTGTGAATTCGATTTACATCAGCGACCTTAACGAGGTCGCAAAGGCGAGCTTGTATGATAAATTTCCAACTTCCAAGTGGAGTAGAGCTAGAAAGAGATTAAATCTCTTGGTAAGGCGTGTGTCATAAACGAGGTGTCACGCGTTATGTAGCGAGCTTGTCTACATTGACGTGAAAGTGAGCAAACACCTGACGATCTGAACCATGACAACCTTTCAAAAATTCTAAAACAAATCATTGAGGTTGCCATGTTATTACGAGAATGAGCTAAAGTAGAACGATCTCAAACTTCTACGATCTTAGATCTCTAAGGGATGAGATTACGAAGACAAGCTAAAATGGGCAACCTCAATCGTCATAATGAAGTAGATCCCTGAGGTACGGAACAAATCCGAGGTAATTCGTTACGACCTGAACCTTAGGGATTTTTCAAAATTTAAAATGACGCAAATCTCTGAGGAGATACGATTTGAGGAAATTTGTTACGACCTAAACCTTCAGGATTTTTCAAATTTTAAAATGAGGTAAATCTCTGAGGAGATACGATTCGAGGAAATTTGTTCCGACCTGAACCTTCGAGATTTTTCAAAATTTAAAATGAAGTAAATCTCTGAAGAGATACGGTTCAGGGCGTTTGGTATTCTTCTGCCAACAAATATCCCTCAGCCTTCCCACAATAAATGTTGGCTCAACATTTGAGGGGACGTGACAGCTGCATGCGGCAGGTTTTATACACTCAACCATAAATGGCTGCCACATGTAAGCGTTTAACTAGCACATTAGAAACATGCGTACGACATTTACGAGGGTGTGATTTGTGAGATAGGCAACTGAAACACACACTTAACTATTTCTCTGTTTCATTTCATAGTATTGTTTGTCATTTTTCACAACTAAGGTTACAGAAGTGTTTTAGGCGCATTCCTCAAAACTCTAAAGTGGAAGTACATCAACTTTCCAACATCCAAGTAAAAATGGATTCCTTTCAAGATCTAAGAGAGCTTCGGGGTAACCAAGGGGGAGGGGAGAAGAAAAGGGTGTTATATCGATGGAACCGATTATTATGATAATGCCGTTGGAACTGCAGGATTTGCCCGAAACCATCACACCAGAGAGTAGCATTGGTTCGAGCGTAGGTGGTGACTCTAGCAACCATCGTTCTTTAGCCTCTAAAGATTTGTCTTTAGAGAGGACACTCGGTGATGTGGGGGACGCTGGAAAAGTTGCTATCAGTCCGCCAATGACAAGTACAGAGGTGAATGTGGTTGTGTTTGAAGAATGGGAGAATAAGGTTATCAGTAGGAGATTGGACAATCTTCGTAAAGCACCAAAAACTCTTCCGGTCGGCTTTAGGTTCAGGGTGGCACTGCATCATGATGTGGCAGATGGTTTGGCCATAGTCAAAAGGTATAAAAAGTTAGAGGAAATGGTGAAACAATACTAGATTCCAAGGATGATTTTAATTCAAGCTGTTACCCAAAATGAGAGGGTTGTACAGTGTCAAGAACGGGCTGGATACCAATGTACGTAGATCACTTTGACACCGGCCTGTGCTTGCCCCTAGCAGGGCTAATTTTTGACTTGTTGGCAGGGTACGAGTTGGCACTAAAACAGCTGACGCCAAACAGCATCAAATTTATTATGGGATTTATGCTGCTGTGCGCGGAGCTAAAGATACCAGCTAAAACGACCGTATTCAGGTCGCTATTCTTATGCCGGCTTAGTAGTACCCGAACGAGGTGGTACTACATTTCTGGAAAGGAGAAGATGATAATTTTTACACATGTGTGGAATAAAATCGCCAGATGGAAAAGGCGCTTCATTTTTGTACGGGACACGCAAACAAAGAGGATTAATAACAAGTTGGCAGCTCATCTCTCTGAGTGGCACCCAGGCCATATGTATATGAACTACCCGACGTTGGTGTCGGGGGATGTAGATTTAAGGATAAGCTGCTAGAGTATGTATGAGATGAGGGATTAGTAGACTTGGAGGCCTTGGTTACCCTAGAGCAGCTTGCCCTATTTGGGTTTGTCGATGTAGCAAACTTGTATGCCGAAGGTATATTTCTATTACATATTGTAATTTCTAACCGATCTGAGTTTTATGCGTTTGTTTGTACAGGAGAAATGAGCAGCATGCTGGAAAGGCAACGTCAGCGAGCTCAAAGCTCGAGAAACCGTGGGGCTAGGTTTGGTTCTCAAAGTCAAACGCGTTTTGACGAACGGCTGCTTGTGGCACCAGGGCACAGTTCGTCCCACAGAAGTTCAAGCTCAGCATCGAGACCCCATGCTGAGCAAAGAGTTGAAATTATGCCCTTGAGCTCAAGAAGGCGTGTTCGTGATGATTCCGACGTTGAGGATGACATGCCACTCATCTAGTGGAGAACGAGCTCAGGGGCTCATGTCGTTCAATCTACTACCGTTCGCTCTTCTAACGTGCCACCTATGCCGGCACGTGATGTTGCTGAGCCTTTGGCTGCATCCTCATTAGTAGAAGGGCCTAGGATTGAATACTCTGAGGGCTTCAGCTACCTCAAAGCTGATTTCAAGGCCGCCATTGTGCAGGGTATGCAAAATTTTTTGTTCCCCCTATAGATCAGTAGTGTGCGAAGGGGCATGTTCAGCAACATGGGGGCCATGTTGCTATGCTGAAGCTGGTGGAAGTAAGTATTCTCACCGAGTGTTTATATTATTACACTTTTTCAAGTTTATGTTAGAAACTAACAATTGAATTTATATGGCAGGCGTTCAGCTACGCTGTAGCATTCTTTGAGTGCAAGCAGGGGGCGCGCAAGCAAAACCGTGAGCTCAAGAAGAGCTGTAAACAGTTGACCTCTGAGAAGGCAAGCTTGGAGGATGAGGTCAGCCACCTGCAAAGCTCTGAGATGGCGAACAGAGCTGCATCAACAGGAGAAGGTCAACGAGTTGAAGGAGGAGCTGGAAAAAGCTCAGGCTGAGAGGGATAGCGACATCTAAGCTGCCAAGGATAAGGCCGGTCGTGCTGAAGACCGTGCCAAAAGAGCTTAAGCTACCAGGGACAAGGTTCTTTACGAGATGAACTCCCGGAAAGATAGGGTGGCCGAAGCCAACTGGAACGGTGCCCGAGCTGAGGTGTCCCTTGAGAGAGTCAAGAAGTCTCACCAGTGCTCTGTCTGTATCGCCTGAGCACAAGGGACAGAGTGGTTGGTTGGAGCTAACATCTTCTAAGACGCAGTGGCAATCGCCTCAGCAAATACCACCACGGAGATCTACAATGAAATTCATGGGAAGGTATTACGGCATCAGGCTGACTTCCCAATCGGCGAGCTGGCCTTCTTCGAAGGAGAGGAAATGGACGAGTAGGGAAAAAGTCTCGCTTCTCTTGTTGATGCCACGGTGAGGCTGAGGTGGGAGCTTAATGAAGAAGGAGTGCCAGTGTGGCCTCCATCCATTGTGGAAGAGGGGGAGGATACTGAGGGTTTGCCAAGCTTTGATGCTTGGGTGGCAGAGCCCCTTGAAGCAGAGGCTGAACCATCAAGCACTCCCTCATCCTCTCAGCCCGCCACAACTCTAGCTCTTCCCTCGCCAACTCAGCTATCTCCTACTCATGCTTCTGTTGCGCTCGCTAACACGTCTATCCCCATCGATCTAACGGATGATTAGTTTAGGTTCATTTCTTTCTTTTGTATGTTTTGTACTAGTCACTTGACCCATTAGAACATTGTAATGATTGTCCTTTGCATTTACGTGTATATTTTTTGGAAAGAAATACAAAATGGACAACATTTGATGAAGTTTATGTATTCAGTAATTTTTTTATACACTTTACATCTTATTAGTATGTTTAATTGTAGTACAAACTAACTATAATATCTCCTGAGATTGTGTATGTTCCAAGTAAATGGTAATTAATGACCTTGTGAATCTGCTAGTAAGTAAGACCCAGGTCATTTAACTTGAACTACCATATAAGAACCTTCCTAATTAGGGGCGAGCTTACCCATGTGCGAATAAGCATTAGTGAGCTCAACCTTGCGTAAAACCAGGTTGCCGACTTGAAATTGACGAACACGAACCCTTTTATTGTAAAATCTAGCAACACGACTCTGATAGGCCATGTTTCTCATTCGAGACATTTCTCTAACCTCCTCGACAAGGTCTAGGTTTTCTCTCAAGAGTTGCTCATTATTAGAATCATTATGCTGAGCTGACCTGTTGGATGACAAGTCGATTTGCACTGGGATTATAACCTCAGCTCTATAGGCAAGGCAAAATGGGGTTTCGCCAGTGGCCGAGCTGGGCGTAGTGCGGCATGACCATAACACTTTGTTGAGCTTGTCAACCCAATTAGAGTGCGCTGCTAGGACACATGTCTTAAGGCCATGCAAAATGATTTTATTGGTTGATTTTGCTTGTCCGTTTGACTGCGGAGTGTATACAGAAGTGAGAGTCAGCTCAATGTTATAATCATCACAGAATAACCTGAGCGTTGTTGCTCGAAATTGGGGTCCATTATCAGTAATTATTCACTTAGGAATGCCAAACATGCACACAAATGGACTAACTAAGACACAAGTATTTGCGCATGTAATGCATGTGTGGTTTAAACCATTGATGAGTACCTGCATAGTATGGAATTGAACAAAAATTCCTTTATTTTCCTCTCGATCATTGTGGACAGCGGTTTGGCTTCTATCCACTTAGTGAAGTAATTCACAGCAACAATGAAGTGTGTGCCACCTTCCTTGCCCTTTGTAAAAGGACCGAGCAGATCAACTCCCCATTGAGCGAAGGGCTAGGGTGATATGAGAGACAATAACCTATCTCCCGTAGCAAAAGAGATGTTTATGTTCAACCCAGAGATAAACACAAGGTTCTAGCAAGTTTTAGATCGAGCTTAAGGTACCTAGCATGTGAATGTCATCGGCGTTAAACTGTCAGGTTGAACATTTTTTTACATAATTTTGCGCATCCTCAACCATAGTAGGCCAATAGTACCCATGCCTTAGAATTTTTCGAGCTAGGGTTTTTCCTCCAATGTGTGTGCCACATACTCCTTCATGAACTTCCCTTATAACATATTCAGCTTTATAAGGAGTGAGGCAACGTAACAGGGGCATTGAAGTTGCTCGTTCGTATAACTGATCGTTAACTAGAGTGAAATGTGCCGCCCTGTGTCTGATTAATCAAGCATCAGATGGATCCTTAGGTAATTCACTGTTTCACAAGTAATTAATCAAGGGTGTAGTCTAGCTCAGTGAAGAGGGATTTGTACTTAGTACTTGGCACTCAACTGTTAGGTCGGTATAGCTAGGGGCATTAAGTACCTCGACAACTGTTGTCCTTTGAGGATTAATTTCTTATGATGAAGCTAACTTTGATAACTCATCAACTCGTTGGTTATCTACCCTCGGTATGTTGTCAATTTGGAACAAGATAAAGCCTAATTTCAACCTATTGACAACAGAGGCGTAATGACCGAGTTGAGGGTCTTTGATGTCACAGCTTCCATTTACTTGATTCACTACAAGCTGGGAGTCACTAAAGACTCTTATGCTTTTTGCTTCCAGTTCGGACGCTAATTTGAGACCGTAAATGAGTGCTTCATATTCAACAACATTATTAATTGTCTGAAATTTGAATCTTAATGCATGTTTGGATTTAAAATCATCTGGGCCTATCAACACTGCCCCTACGCCTGATCCTTCCACATTTGCAACTCCATTTACATACAGGACCCACACTAGGTGTGATGGTGTATTTTCTTCCACAACCACTGAATGGCATTCCACCATAAAATCTGCTAAAGCTTGGCCCTTAATAGTTGTACATGGTTGAAACTTGAGATCGTATTCACTCAGCTCGATTGTCCATGCAATTAGTCAGCCGGAAAGTTTCAGCTTCTACAATATCTTCCGTAGTGGTAGGTTGGTGTAGACAACAATCTCATGAGATTGGAAGTATGCCCTTAGATTTCGGGCAGTGTAGACGAATGCAAAAGCAGCCTTTTCAGCAATTAGATAATTCTATTCAGCACCCTATAAGACTTTGCTTGTATAACAGATGAGTTTCTGATATTTATCTTTCTCTCTTAACAGAACTGAGCTAACTGCCTCATCTGTAATCCCCAGATACAAGTACAAGTTCTCTCCTTTGGCAGGATTGGAAAGTAAGGGTGGTGATGCCAGGTATTGTTTGAGTTCATCGAAAGCCTGCTGGCATTTATCAGTCCACTAGAAGTTCTTGGGCTCTCGCAAAGCTCTGAAGAATGGAAAGCATTTTTCTATCGACCTAGCAATGAATCTGTGTAGAGCAGCGAGCAGACCTGTTAGACGTTGTACATCTTTTATTGTTTTAAGGGGTTCCATTTGCTGCACAGCCCCAACCTTGTCTGGGTTCACCTCAATCTCCTTCTTGGATACCACATACCTCAGGAATTTACCCAATTCTACAGCAAATGTACATTTCAACAAATTTAACTTCATCTACACTTAGCATAGATTTTGAAATGTTTCATTCAGGTTGCCAATATGATCTTTAGCTCGTAGACTGGTGGCAATCATATCATTAACGTATACTTCAATATTCCTGTCGATCTGAAACTTAAAGACAACCTGAACTAACTTTTGATATGGTGCGCTAGCATTCTTCAAACCAAACAGTATCATGACATAATAGTAGATTGCATCCCCCACATAAAATGCCATTTTCTCTTGGTCGTCCAACCACAGCTGAATTGATGATATCCTGAGCTAGCATCAAGGAAGCTCATGTGCTTATGCCCAGCTGCTCACTCTACTAACTTTTCCACATTAGGCAAGGGGTACAGATCTTTGGGACATGCTTCATTCAAATTGGTGAAGTCAATGCACATTCTCCACTTGCCGTTAGGTTTCTTGACGAGCACAGGATTGGACACCCATTCAAAATATTCAACTCTCTTGATGAAGCCTGCCTATAATAGCTTTTGTATTTCTTCATCTATAGCAGCTTACTTTTCAGGGCCAAAAAGGTGACGCTTTTGAACCACTGGCTTCTTGGTGGGATCTATACTGAGCTTGTGAACTATAAATTATGTTGGAATGCCAGGCATTTCATCCGTTGTCCACGAAAACACATCCTAGTTAGCCTTCAAAAATTCTAGGAGCTTAGTTCTTTCTTCCCCTGTGAGTTTGGTTCCTATTTTCACTGTTTTCTCTGGCTCATCAGGGTTCAACAGGACAGTCTCCATCGATTCTGCTGGCTCATCCTTCTGCTCTACATTCTCAGGTCGGTGGTCTATGTCAGATATGCTCATCATCTGTTGACCTGGCTAACTTTACCTGGAAATGTTTGAAACACTGGTCTTGGGTGCTATTACGAGTTTGACCTTCTTAAATGTGTCCTGGTAGTAGATTCTGACCATTTTCTGGTTCCCTTTGAGCACTCCTACACCCTGAGGAGTTGGGAACTACATATAGAGGTGTGGTTGAGAAATGACAGCTTTCAATTCACAAAGAGTAACTCTTCCAATTATAGCATTGAAAGCTAACTCCATCTTAACCACTAGAAAATTCATTGAGGCCATCCTAAACCATGGTTTAGCACCCACGTATATGGGAAGTGTGATTACTCCCTCAATAGGGACGGGCTGATTGTCGAATCCATAGATTGGCCCTTCATACTTCTTCAAGGAAGCTGGGTTTAGCTGCATCTTTTGAAAGCAGCTCCAATATAGGATGTTTGGAGAACTGCTCGTATCTATGAAGACCTTATTGACGTTGTGATTGCCAATGTGAATTGTCGCCACGAAAGGGTCAGCGTGAGGTATCATAATGTCTAGTTCTCCCTCTAGCCGCTTATAATCAGCTGGACTGAATGTAATGGGCACATTTTCCCATTATGCTTCCTCAAACAGTCATTTTAGGGGCCTGTTCTTGTTCACTATCATCGCTTGGCGAGCAAAAGCTTTACGACCTCGGACACTCTGGCCTCCTGAATGCATGCCACTTGAAATCATGTTGATTGTGCCAGAAGGTGGGGATATTCCGTTGTAACTGACCCCTCTATGGTCTTTTTGATTCTGTGCAGGGGTTTTCTATCCTTGGCCTTGTCTGTTGAATGGATGTCCTCTATACGTTTTACCAGATTCAGAAGAGTATTGACTCCCTTGGTTTAGATTCTGGTTACTGTCGAGCTGGTACCCTTGCCCTTGAGGTCGGCTGTATTCTTGCACAAAATGAGTCTGACTGGTTTGCTGGGCGTAAGGTTTCTAGACATATCCTTCATATTTTTCGTTGCGAGCCAAGAATTCCAGCTCGTCCTTCAAGCTATGACAATCTTCTGTGTTATGGCCATATCCACGGTGGTAGTCACAATATTTGCTTTTATCCGCTCATGGGGAATCATGTAGCAGGGGAAATGGTCTTTTGATCTAGTGTTGGATCTGTACCATGATTTGAGACCTTGAAGAGCTCAGAGGAATGTAATTGGCATATTTTGGGTAGGAAGGTGGCTTTCCTCTCTGCTCGCCAACTTTCTTCTTTTTCCTTTCCTCTTTTCCTTCTAGTTGTTTGTGCTCTTTACTTTGTTTATCGTCAGCTCATCTCTTGGACGACTAAAAGTCTTCTGACAGTATGAAGCTCATTGACTTGTCATTTACTTCGTTCCATGACTTCAGTGGATTTTCTAGCAAGTCGTCTAGGAACCGACCAGGTTTTAGGCTATGCAACAAAGTAGATAGGCAAATGGTATCAGGGACATTATCAATGTCTAAGGTGGACTTGTTAAACCGTTGCATATAATCCCTTAAAGATTCTCCCTCTTTCTGATGAACCTGCATCAGCTCGGTAGCAGTGCATTTTATTTCCCTTTGGCTCGCAAACTTGTTTGAAAACAAAGTGGCGAGCTCGGAGTAGGAGGCTATGGAATGTCTGGGGAGCTTGTGATACCATCTTTTGGCAGTTGATTTCAATGTTGTGAGAAAAACTTTGCACATCATAGCAACAGTAGCGTTTTGGATTCTCACGATGGCCTAATAGGTATGTAAATGTTAGTTCGGGTCACCAGAGCCATCGTACATCTCTAAGTGAGGAATCTTGAATCCCTCTTGATATGGTTCTGCCGTAATTGATAGGTTGAAAGGGGCACTATCCAAATCGAGAGCTTGTTGACGCGACCTCAGACATTTCAGCTCGTCAATAAACCTCTGTACATCTTTGAGCTGTCTTTCGAGATCAGCATTCTTCCTTAGCAACTCTTCATTATGCTTGGACGAGCTGGGTTCTGGATTTAATTTTCCACTTCCTCTTGGCCTAGTTGGAACCATCACATTGCTCAAGGCCGGGGAGTTGCGGGTTGCAACTACTGTTGCCAGTTGCTCACCCCTATTCAGCAGAGGGATTAGGGGGTCATTAGGGATCAAATGAGAGAGGATTCTTCCCATGGCCATTTCTAGAACTCTGGTTCTTTCTTCTAGCTCAGTTGTCCATGTAGATTCCATGGTTCTCTCAGGTCGTGAAATATTTTGCCTGAAATGCCTCTGCTCTACTTCCGCTAGGATGTGAAACTATTCTTCAGGTTGGGTTGCATACCCAGTAAGTGTTCGTTCATCGTCTGAACTATTTGATTGTTCTTGTTCTGCTTTTCCCACAAAAAGGTTTCTCGGCATTGGTCGGAAGTCATTGGGATCACTTTCCAAAGGTTGAGTATTGTCCTGGTCGTTCATGTTATCTCTTGGGGGGTGGTTCCCTATAAAGGTACGTACCATTTTTTAGCTCAACCTAGTTAAACTACAACACTTTTTGTTCAGTTCCCACAGATGACGCCAAATGTTTGGGCAGCTTCACAATTCTACATTATAGATATCTTCAACTACTTCAACACCTGAAAATCCCAAAGATGTTTTCTCAGGGAAAATACTCCGACACTCAAGTTAGCAATACTCGATATTCTAGAGAAAGAAGCTCTCAAAGAGTAATTGCAGAGAGAGAAGTGTAGTGGAGTTAATACCTTGAATGATGGTAGTTAGGGGGTATTTATAACCCCATGTGCTGACATGAGTCCATATGTGTACGCATCTGATTGGTCCACGTGTTACTGCCCATGTGGGTATGTTTGTACTAATGTATGGATGTCTCTTCATTTTGGGCTTATGGATGTACGACTAGACCTGTTGTACATGACTCGGATTGAATGTTGGGCCCATTCCCAATAGGTTTATAATTTAATTAATGTATAAAAGAATCAATTTAGACAATGATGCTATCACTATTGCTTATGGATAAGGAAATGAATTATTAGAATTCAGAATTGAATTACTACATCTTCTAATGTGCAATTGGATTTCGACTTTGCAGAATCACAAACCCATATATTTGGTAATGAACCTGCCCCTCCCACGTGAATATGCAAATATCAGATAAAAGTAAAAACTGAACTTAGAAAAATTGTTCAAAATGAGACCAATATAAGATAAAAGAAACTACAAAGCATGTTATATTATTATGGTTGCAGGTGAATCATGATATTAATTTTGAAGGGTAATTTAGGATCAAAATACAGATACAGATGGAAAATGAAAAACTGTCGATAACAGTCAAAGGAGATCTTGCGACCATACTACAAGTAAAAGGCACGAGTCATTTCTATGCAATATGGACAAGACAAATGACCATGCATGCTCCATCCAGAAACCATACCATAGCCGTTATGGTCCACATAAGCATGGCTCGCATTGTGAAGTTCTGTTTATAGAAGCTGTCATATATTTCTACCCCAGACAACCATAACCGTTTCAGGGATGCCTCAACATGATTCTTATTCCTTATTTTTTTTTTTTTCAATTTGCACATTCGTCTATAAAATTTGAAATAGGCTATGAGCATAACAAATGGTTATAGATTATGTTTTACATGAAACTAGTGCCAACTTGTTTCCATTACTGTTCAAATGGGTACATCCATCGAAATTGTATAGGCCCACCAATTTGCACCTCGAAAGGAAGATGGATTGCTAGGTGCTCCATACAATCAAAAAATGATGGCGGGAAGATTCTTTCCAACTTATATATTGTTTCAACAATCTTTGTTTCCCAAACTGCCATGTCTTTTATGTTGACATTTGGGGAACATAGTGCACGGAAGAAATTACTTACTTCTGGTAATGGACCCCATATAGAATCTGGCAACAAGCCATGGAAAGGAATTGGAATGAGGTGCTGCCTGAATATGTGGCAATTGTGACTCTTCAACCCAACTAAGTGCAACTCATCTAAATTCACGCAACGTGCGATGTTAGACACAAAACCATTTGGAAATTGCATATGTTTGAGCCATGCACATAGACGTCTTTTCTGTTCTGTGTTAAGTGCATAACTTGCATTTGGCTTGCAAAGTGAACTAGAATTGTCACAGTACAAGTGTAGTTCTTCCCTATCACAGTACAATGATAAGTCCATTATTGACTTAACATTGTCTTTTAAAGACGAGTCATTCATGACTGTGTGTATGATGTTTTTAAAGAAATTCTTCTCACAGTGCATGACATCAAGACTGTGTTTGATCAAGTTATTCTCCCAATATGGGAGTTCTCAAAAGATACTCCGTTTGACCCAATTGTGTGTTTCACCAAACTCATGAATAGTTTGGTTTATAGATGGATTTCTGAATAAAATATCAGGTAGTGTAGCAACTCGAAGTCGAACGGAATGACCATCTAACCGTGGAGGAAAGGGGCCAAATTCAAAGTGCCCCTTAAGGGATTGAGTTGAATCCATTATATACAAGTGTGATGCAAGAAGAAACTGTTGATGACAGTCAAAGAAGGAGATCTTGCAATCATATTGCAAGTAAAAGGCATGAGTCATTTCCATGCAATATGGACAAGACAGACGACCATGCATACTCCATCTAGAAACCATACCATAGCCGGGGAAATCCGTTATGGTCCACATAAGCATGGCTTGCATTGTAAAGTTCTGTTTATGGAAGCTATCATATGTTTCTACTCTAGACGACCATAACCGTTTCAGATCATCAATAAGTGGATGGAGGAAAACATCAATGTTTTTCCTTGGACTCTTTGGTCCAAAAATAACAAGTGCAAGGAATGTAAATTCAGGTCGTATACACATCTCAAGAGGAAGATTGTAAACAACAATGAAAATAGCCCAACAAGAATACGACCTTGAAGAATGAACCCACGGGTTAAACCCGTTTGTCGCAAGACCAAGACCGACATTTTGTGGCTCACGTGCAAACGAATGATGAACTTCATCAAAGTGCTTCCAAGTAGTAGACTGAGCAGGATGAATGAAGATCTCTGAGTCAACACGACATTTAAGGTGCCATGTCATATGCTCAGCAATTTTACAAGACATATACAGTCTCCATAGGCATGGAATTATGGGTAGATAACTCAAAAAATTCCTTGGCCTATCCTTTTTCAAGTTTGAGTCGGGTTGCATCTTTTATACCTAGGTTCACCATAAACTGGGCAAGCAGTAAGTGACTTAGCCTCATCCCCATAATATAGAAAGCAATTGTTGACACATGCATCAATTTTGACTAGCCTAAACCTAGGCTTTTCATGAGTTTTTTTGCTCCATAAAAATTTGACGGTACTTTTTGCTGATCTTCTGAACTTAACAATTGCCTACAACCATGAATGATCTCATTGCAACCAAAACCAATTATGTTGTTTTTGGCTTTGGTGTGCGGCATATATGATAATCAACCAAGCAATGTTTGATCATTAGATGCTGGTCCAAGCGGGATGGTTGAAGCATGCAACAAGTCATAAAAAGATTATGCATGTCTATTTGGCGCATCCCCATAATTTTCAGCTACAAACTCTGTTTCATTTGTAGGGTGATAATTCTCAGATGGACATAATGCATCATAAACCATGTGATGGAAATCATCCTCAGCATTAACATGTTCCTCAGTATTACTTGAGGATGCCACATCATGTATGGCTAACCATGGATCAACATTACTACTTAAAGTTTCACCATGTGCCCACCATACAGAATATGCATCCATGAAACCATATCTCAAAAGATGGTCTGCTACAACTGCCTTGTTGTGGTGAGGTAAATTTCCACATTTACTACAGGGGTAGCAAATTTCAGCATTTGGGTGGACACCAAGACAATTGTATACAAATCAAAAAATTGTCGTAATCCATTAAAGAATTCAGCATCACAATCTCCACGAAGACCTCGTTGTCTATACATCCAATGACGATCGTCTATCATCTTTAACTAAATACTACAATTAAGATTTTAACTAGATTAAATCATTATTAAAATAATAATAGTAATTAAAAAGTATGAGTCATAGATAAAGAAATGGGAACACTCATCAAGTAGCGCGTAAAGGTTGCATAAATATATATATATATATATATCTATAGTAAATTATGTTTCAGTTGAGGGGGAAAAGTGCATATATTAAAAGTTGAGGGATGAAAATATACATATAGTCAAAGTATAGGGACTTAAAGTGCATATATCAAAAGTTAAGGGATGAGAATGTATATATAGTCAAAGTTTAGGGACTTATAATGCATATATTAAAAATTAAAGGATGAAAATGTACATATAGTCATAGTTTAGGGACTTAAAATTATGCAAATTCGAATAAAGTTAACGGGTAAGTAATAGAATGACTAATGAGGTAAACTTTTCATAGTTTAGGGAGAAAAAAATTAATAAAACAATTATGAGATGAAGAGTGTGCACACCCTTCAAATTTATGGAGCAAAATTTGAAATTTAACTATTTCTTTATTTCTGGTGAAAAACCTACTGAAAATATCATGTAAGGGAATCGAACATTTCTTTCCTTTGTCCAATGATAATGGCATAATCCACTTGATGGGGAAAGTATTGTTTGTTAATTTTTTGCTACATGATTAATATGTTACAAGATAGAAAAATAATAATAGAGTGTGACATTGTATTGCTTTAAACATGCTATATTTCTAAAAGGAAGTGATACTACAAACCAATTGAGCCACTGTAAATATATACGTAAGTTATGCATAATATTATAATTACTAATGATAAATTGAACCGATGGGTTGAACAATTTTTTTTTGCTTTTGAAATATATAGTATATTTTGATTTCTTAATTTCAAATTAATATTTTTTTTTATAATTAATATGTATTTATAGTATAATAATATCTATATTAACTAGTAATTTTTTTTGTTATTTATGTATAATAATCAACAATAATAAGTAAAAATAATGTATTTCAAAATCATCTGTGATTGAAACAAAAACTATAATATACAAGAAAAAATTAAAATATAACAAAGATGAGGGTGAAAACTAATAACAAATAAAACTTATTCTTGAAATCTAAATGAAGGCAACTAGGAAATGATACCTGCAAAATGCAGAAGTTGATGGCACAATATATAGATCAAAATTTAGTAAATATGAAACAGAAATGGGTTATGAACACAAAAGATAAAAACCTATATCACCAACATGAAGTGTGATGCTAAAAGGATGAGGCTTTCAGTGAAAAATTGCATCACCAACATTGAGTGCGATCCTAAAAGGATGAGGCTTTTAGTAACAAGCACTACATTGCTGAAAGTTAAATTATATTTAAGTCAAAAAATGCAAGTAGCAGATGGATAGACATGACGGTGGAGTGCTACACACTCCCCCAAATATAAGATTCAGATTTGGATTCGGATTCTTTCCTGCAGTTATGTAAAATCAATATTAATAGTTAAAAATACAATAGTTGAAGTAACATGTATATGAACGTAAAATTAATAATATAAATGAGACAATATATCAAATATAATATAAAAAATATTTATGATGAAAAGTATGAGTTAAAAAAAAAATTATAATTCATACTAGTACATACCATTAATATATAAGTTAAATATTAATTTTGATTGTCAACTAAATGAGTTTGCATAATTTTAAAATTTTCAACATGACATTTTTTTTAATATAATTTTTTTTAATATCATTGATGACATATAATTAGAATAGGATTATTATCACACCATAAATAATTAATGTTACACTTTTTTAATATAATTACTTATTATATACTTATAGTACTTTTTTTTTCATAATTTTACAATTTTTTTTGTTTCTTCATAAATTAAAAGATATAATAATTAATTAAGATAAAAAAATATGATATTAGTATTTAAGAATGTAAAAAAAAATTACCCATATAATTACACTTCATACCATAAAATAAAAAAAAAATATCAACTAAGGCATATATTAACATTTTTAATCATTAGGTTCACTTATTATAATTACATTTAATACCATTTAATTCATAAATTAAATTAGAAATCAAATCAATTATCTTACTATTAATTTCAATTTAAGTTTAATTATTGATATTTACTTATTATATGAATTTCATTATTAAAAAATAGTTTGCAATTAAATCAACCAAAATTTCTTGAACAAAGTTCTCAATACCCAAACACAACAATTTTCTTAGCATCCAAACACAAAATGAAACAAAATTTTCATACTCCATTTCATATTATACAAGAATTCAAGAAAAAATTACGTATAAAAAAATATTGAAATGAAAAATCACAATTAATTCCTAAAATCTGGATTATTCATCCAAATCTAACTTCCTACCAATCCATATTTCCAACTGAATGTTATTTTCCTTTTTCATTTCAAATTCTAAACACCATATAAGATGGAGGAAAAGGGTTGGTTTGAGGAAGAAGAGAAAGGAAGCTTCATGAACACAAACCCAGAAATGGGTTCTTGAACCCAGATTTGCGTTCATGAACACAAACCCAGATCTGGGTTCGTGAACCCAGAGCTGGGTTCATTAACTAAAACCCAAGTCTGGGTTCACGAACATGAACCTAAAGAAAAAAAGATGAGAGGGGAGAGTAGAAAAAAGATGAAAAAGGGAGGTAGACACCAAAAAATGAAAAAAATAAAAGAAAAAAAGGTAGGAAATGGTTTTTGGAATAACAGAGGAGAGGGAGAGAATGGAGAACAGTAACTAGAATAATGGAGGAGAGGGAGAAGATAATTGCTGGAGTTAATGAAGATAAACGGGGGAGAAAAGAGATCGCCAATCGACCATCATAAATTGGGTAAAAGGGGAATTTATGTGATACTAAGGGGCATTTATGGGATATTATAAAGGTCATAAATATAATTATAGGATTATATATAAGACTATATATTCTCACCTCAAACAAAAAACTTAAAATTATTGTGAATTCCAATCAAGAGTCGAATCTATGAGTGTAAATTCAACTCTTTTGAGCCCTAGAGTCGACTCTATTAGAACAAGAGTCGAATCCCAAATTCCCAAGAGCAATAAGCATTTTGGTGCAGAACAGAGTCGACTCTTTATTAAAAGAATCGACTCTTGATGCTATATATTCGACTCTCAATTCTAAAATTCGACTTATGACTGCAGGGAAAAAGCAAGTTTTCTTTATGTACAGTCAACTCTTAGTTTGTAGAGTCAACTGTTTATTCTTTAAAGAGTCAACTCTTGGTCACGGGATTTGATTAAAATCGCATCAATTCCAATTTTCCCCATTTTCCCTCTCTCTCTTATTCAATTCTCTAAGAAACCTAACCCTCAAACCAGCGAAAATCCTCCCAAATTTCATCAAAATAACTCACCCAAACACAAACCCACATCATTTTCAGCCCATTCCTCTTAGATTCCTGCATTATTTCCAAAAATGATGAGGACTAAAAGAGTGGCAAAGAAACCAAGGACACAGGTGGCAAGCTCTTTCGCAAGGCGTCGCAAAGCTGCCCAAAGTCCTAAGGAGAGCAGTGAAAGCACAAACACCAAGCAGGTATTTCAACCCGATAACCCTTCGAACTTTGCATCTCGAAATACTATAGAAGCATATAAGAAATTAGGAAATAAGAATGTCATTTATGAGTTAAGAGTTGTTTTGGAAGATTTATGTAAAGGGGGGCTGCATGTAAGAGAAATGTTAGATGGAATGGGGTGGACTGAATTAGTAACTAGAAAGGTGAGGGTTTACCCACAATTGATCAAGATTTTTTATGCAAATTTGAGTGATTCGAAAGATGTAGGGTATAGAACAATTGTTCTTAAGAAAAATATTGAATTTGATGCTGAAACTATAAATTTTGTTTTACATTTGCCAAATGAGGGAGCCGAGGAATTAAATGCCTTTACGGAAGAATCAACAAAGAAAGTTATCATGGGGGATGAGTGGAATGAGGGACAAACATTAACCATTAACCACTTGAATTTGGAGTATCGGTTAATGTTTTAGATTTACAATCACATAATTTTGCCTAGACAAAGTTCTTTTGGGAAATTTAGTGGTTCGGATTGTGTGCGGTTTGCATATATTCTTGATCAGAGGCAAATCAATTTAGGACACCATATGATGAGGCATATGGTATATTATAGGGGTAGATCAACACTCGCACTAGTGTACAGCACTTTCATCACATTACTTATGAAAAATGCGAGTGTTGATTTGCGTGATATAGAGTCCCAAGACCTATACAGTCACGAGCTTCTGAACGACAGTTCACTGAACAAAATGGGGTATGTATTTAGTGCAAGAACAAATTCTTGGGAAATGAAGTAGAAAAGGAGAAGAGGAGGACAAGATGATGAAGGTAAAGGGTTTGATGATGAAGAACATGCCGAAGAAACTGAAGAAGCAGGACCCTTACAAGCTGTTTCATCTCAAGTTCCTCAGAGACTAACCACACAGAAAGGAATGCAGCTCATTCTCAAGAGACTTGCACGGATTGAGTCAAAGCTTGATGATCACATTAACAACTGTCAAATGGCAGCACCTATAGGTCCTTGAGGGACAAGGGGAGATTCATCTACTGCTGGCACATCCTCTAGACAACAACCCACTAATCCCTCTTCACATCTGGAAGCATAAATCCTTCTGTTGCAATTGTTGATGCCGATTAAATTCTCATTTTACTATTTGAACACTATTTGAAAGGTGTCTTAATGTTCGTACTGTTTATATTTTTGAATATGTACATATAATGTTGACATTAGATGCAGTTAAATTTAATGTTATTTTTAACACAAATGAGTATATCATAATTGTGATTATTTTGTAATGGTTGATTATGCTCTTGATGTGTTTCCATTGATGGCAAGCAATTTCGTAGTTCATAGTGTGCGTGAATGGTATTTTGTGGTTGTGGTTTTAAAGGTTGATGTGCATGTGGTTTAATGGTTCATTAGTACTTTTTTGTAAGGGTGAAGTTTTAGAGTCGAGTTGCTGTATTTTTGAGTTCAATTTCAATAATATTTTTTACAATTTGTGATTGTATATAGAGGGATCTTAAAGTTTGTTTAAATGGTCATAATTAATAGTGAAGTATGTCTCATACTCCTCTTATAATAGATTATATAGTTTATGTTACTGAAAAAAAAAAAAGGGAAAAGATAATAGCAAAATCTGGAAAACCATAGAAATGGGGTGAAGAGTCGAATATAGCAGTCTATATTGGACTCTTCAGGCATATAAGAGTCGACTATGAAGCATCAAGAGTCGACTCCCAAATTCTAGTAGGTAAAATTCACTTGTTGTAGCTCATAGTCGACTCTCCATTTTAGAGTCGATTTGCTTTAGAGTCGACTCTCAATCCTTTACAGTCAACTGTACTATATAAGATTGGACTCTTGGACTATGGGAGTTCGTAAAGTAAACGAATTTCATATAAACTCTTAACAATCAACATGAGAAAAACTTGAAAATCATTAATAAATGTTGTAATGTCGAAATATACTGGATAATCATAAGAAAACAAGTAAAATTGGAAAAAAAATATTGAAGAACATAAGTAAGGCAATGATATTACGGTTGTTGAATAGATCGTAATTTTTTGAAGGGCAGCATCCCAATAATTTTTTTCAAATGTAAGACGCCTACCATTACCAAAAATCTTTATAATTGTTTCTGAGGACTTAGTAGGGGTTTTGGATGGATTTGACACAACTGGTGATCGATAACGATTCTGGCAAATTTTTGCAAAATGACTCTCATAGTTACATAGTTGATAAGTTACAGCATATCGGTGCAGGCAAACTGTAGCTAAAAGTCAAGGAGTATCACATATTTGACAAATAGAGTTGTCTACAATATTAGGCAATGGAATGTGTTGGTCAGTTGATAAATTATTCCTTGCTTTTTTCAACTTTCTCTTGGGAGGACTCTGAGATGGGCAATTCCAAAATGATTCAGGAATATCCTCAACGATTCCTATATAAAATAACATAAAGTTAAGTAATATGATAGTAAATGAGGTGCATGAATGTGAAATGAGAAATAAGGGAAGGAAACAAAAAAAAAAAAAGTTATACCATCGTATTGGCTGTCAAAATATTCTTAACTTTCCAATTGGTTGCTAAAATATTCTTGACTTTCCAATGGCTATCAAAATATTGTTGACTCTCCATTAAGCAATAGAGAAAAAGAAGTTTTGAAATTTATAAAAGTTATTACTTCTAAATTATAATACAAAAATAATTATGTGGGGATGAAAAAAGGTGAATTGAATTGAAAGAGTAAAGGAGAAATAGCAAGAAATTAAAAAGAGTGGAAGATGTGTATATATTAATATGAGAAATGTATATATACTGGGGGAGGAAGCTACTAGTCAAAGTCTTTTTTCAGCAACATGTTACAATTATCTCACTTTCACCAACATATGATCCATGTTGCTGATTAATGGCTAGGAACGGGAGTTGCTGCTAGTCAATGATTGATAGGTATATGTTGGTAAACTTTTGCTCACTAGAAAATTTCAGTAACATGGTTCTTATTGCTGAAATTCACTTTTAGCAACATGCCTTTTGTTGCTGAAAGTTGAGCTCAATTTTTGAGGAAATTGGATACTATAGAGATGTCAGCAACATAGATCTTGTTGCTGATATTAACTTCCAGCAACATGTCCCTTGTTGCTGAAAGTTAATCTCACTTTTTGGGGGATTAGGTGATATATAGGTATCAGCAACATGGTGCTTGTTGCTGAAAGTTCACCCTACTTTACCTTATTGGAAAATGTCATCAAAATTTCAGCAACACTACCCTTGTTGCTGAAATTCACTATCAGTAACAAGAGGCATATTGCTGAAAGTTGAGTTCACTTTTTGGTAAATTGGCTACTTTATAAGCATTAGCAACATGGGTATTGTTGGTGGAAATCTATATCACCAACAAGCAATTCCATGTTGCTAGAAGTTGCTTGCTAAATAAAGAGATTTTAGTAGTGAATTTGATGACCTTTGTATCTTTCTTCTGTTCAATTCAATTTATTAATTGCTCACTTTGCTGATGGAAAAAATGTTGATATAAAGTTGTGAATATATATACAGATGAAGAAAAGATGTCTTCCAGCTGGAAAAAGAAAGGAATCCCAGAATAACCAGAGGCAAAAGCAAATTAACAAGTAGGATCAATTTCCTCATGCTTTTTGTCCGAAAATTAAAGCCATATATGAAGAGGAAAGAATTTTCAAAAGGAGAAGTAAATGCAAAGAGTTAATGTCGAAAAACTGTGTCTCAACCGATAGCCTCACTCTTTTATAAAGAGGAAGGAAGTTATAAGATTTAAATGATGAAAAAAAAAAAGAAGAAGAAAGAAACAGATGAATGCTAAAAAGAGGTGCAGGGCTATAACTGTTATAGGAAGGACTTTTTTTTTTAAAGAAATATTTTAAGGACTTAATTAATAGAAGGCTTCACATGAATAAATAAAGGGTGGCATTGCTTTGGTTAAGGTAAGAACATATCTCTTCGCAAAGGAAATGCCTTCTTGCACCTCCAAGTTCAACCCCCACTAAAGAATTGAATAGCATCATTTCAGATGAGTCGACATAATTGTTTTGATTTAAAGAAAGGAGATGAGCCTGCTACATCGTATTGATAATTCCAACACAGACGTCTAGGGGTTGATAACCAAGAAATGACAGCAAATAAATTATAAAATTGTTATTTAATCACTCCAGATTTAGTCTAATAGGATTCCACACAATCCAAACCCAGTCATATTTAGCTACTATCTTATCCCATTGTTTGAAGACTCAAATTATATGTCGTGCTCTCATGGTAGCATTTGGACCCTAGAGTGATGTAGAACAGGAAGCAAAGGTGAGGATAGAACTTAGAAATAGAGGCAAAGGTGGGAAAAGAATAGCAGAATTAGGAATTTTTAAAAGATAATTTTAATTCATAAACACTTTAATTGAATAACCTTAGTACCACTACTGGAAAAATCAGTATATTCGACAGAGGATTCTGTCGAATATAAGTGATTTTCTGTCGATTAAACTATAATCGACAGACATATTCGACAACTTTTTTTGTTGAATATACTGCAGTCGATAATCACTATATTCGACAGCCAATTTTTCTGTCGATTAAATAATTTTAATCAACAGAAATTTACTGTCGAATATATTGATTATCGACAGAATTTCTCAAACTTTGTCCAGTTATCTTCGACAGCCGGAAGCTGTCGATTAAACAAGTTTAACCGACAGCTATTGGCTGTCGAAGATAACTGGACAAAATTTGAGAAATTCTGTCGATAAT